ATAGATTCTTGTCGTAAATCTGGTTCGTCTTCTTCTTCTTCTGACATAGATTCTTGTCGTAAATCTGGCTCGTCTTCTGCTTCTTGTGATATAGATTCTTATCGCAAATCTGGTTCGTCTTCTTCTTCTTCTGACATAGATTCTTGTCGTAAATCTGGCTCGTCTTCTTCTTCTTCTGACATAGATTCTTATCGTAAATCTGGCTCGTCTTCTGCTTCTTCTGACATAGATTCTTGTCGTAAATCTGGTTCGTCTTCTTCTTCTTCTGACATAGATTCTTGTCGTAAATCTGGCTCGTCTTCTTCTTCTGACATAGATTCTTATCGTAAATCTGGCTCGTCTTCTGTTTCTTCTGACATAGATTCTTGTCGTAAATCTGGATCGTCTTCTGCTTCTTCTGACATAGATTCTTATCGTAAATCTGGTTCGTCTTCTTCTTCTTCTGACATAGATTCTTATCGTAAATCTGGTTCGTCTTCTTCTTCTTGTGACATAGATTCTTATCGTAAATCTGGCTCGTCTTCTTCTTCTTCTGACATAGATTCTTATCGTAAATCTGGTTCGTCTTCTGCTTCTTGTGACATAGATTCTTATCGTAAATCTGGCTCGTCTTCTTCTTCTTCTGACACAGATTCTTATCGTAATTTTTTAAAAACCATGTTCGGGGAATCCAAAGTTTCGGTATTTCAATTGTTGAATAAAATTAAGTGGAATATTGTGGAGAACTTCAAACTGTAGTTTTTTTTTTAGTATTTTAAATCAAGAAGAAGATTTTAAAAAATGTGTGTATTTTCCCAAATCGACTGAGTTTTATTTTATATCGACTTATGTTTTTCGCTAAGAAACGTCATTGGCTAATAAACAATATTCTAACAAGAAAAGCAAAAAAAAAAAAATACCAAAAAAGGAAGTAAATGTAGGGATGGCTAATATCAGTCCTTCAAACACAGTGTGAACAAGATGGTAGGGATGGCATTTGTATCATCCCTACATAATAGCCCAGGCACACAGTGTAGTAGAATTGTGATTAAATAGTTATATATATTGCTATATGTTAATTCTTGCCTGTTTTGTTATGATATTTACAGACATTCCCAGAACTTGTGACTCAGTCATTACATAGATATTGTTATAATAGGTATCAATGTATAGTATTGTAAAGTTCTGATGACCTATTGAGGAGATATTTAAAATATCATTTTGATGAACAATCCAAGCCATCCCTACATAAGCAGTGCTGCCGCCTGCCTGATACTGTACATTAAGGTATTTGGTATTATCTGACTATCTATAAACACAGTGAGATATCTACTAGGATCTGACTATCTATAAACACAGTGAGATATCTACTAGGATCTGAAGGCTATCTTTAAACACGGTGGCATATCTGCTACGATCTGAAGGCTATCTTTAAACACGGTGGCATATCTGCTACGATCTGAAGGCTACCTTTAAACACAGTGAGATATCTGCTACGATCTGAAGGCTATCTTTAAACACAGTGAGATATCTGCTACGATCATCTGACGACTACCTTTAAACACAGTGAGATATCTGCTACGATCTGAAGGCTATCTTTAAACACAGTGAGATATCTGCTACGATCTGACGACTACCTTTAAACACAGTGAGATATCTACTAGGATCTGACGACTACCTTTTAACACAGTGAGATATCTGCTACGATCTGACGACTACCTTTAAACACAGTGAGATATCTACTAGGATCTGACGACTACCTTTTAACACAGTGAGATATCTGCTACGATCTGACGACTACCTTTAAACACA